ACACACAGCAACGAAGACCCAACACAGCCAAAAATAAATAAATAAATAATAAAGTAATTTTAAAAATGATAAAATAAAATAAAAATAAAAGTAAGGGGATAAATCAGTAAAATACCCAGCAGTGTGTTAAGAAATGTGAAAGATCTTACTGAAGTGGATAATTTTTAAATCCTAAATCACCAATGTTGACATAAAAAAGGAGAGAAAATAACTGAGGAAGAAACAGAGAAAACTGTTCCCAAGTCATCCTTTTTATAAAAATCCTGGATCTAAATGTTTTACAGGTAAATTCTTTCAAAATACAGAAAAAGATGAAAAGCAGTCTGAATGTTTCTACAAATTAAGGATGAGCATGCCACCAAAACCTGCCAAAGATCTCTCCTGTAAAAAAAATTTTTTTAAATTATCTATTGTAACCAATGGGATTTTATCCCAGTATTATTTGTAATAGCAGAAACTTTAGAAGCAACCTAAATGTCCTCTGAGAAATGGTTAAATAAATTTTAGTATATCATACAAAGCAGTATAATACAGCCAATAAAGTGATTTAAAAAAACAAAAGAAAAATCCTCATAAAAATTAGATGAAATTTAAAATGTTGTAATTGAGGGGACTTCCCTGGTGGTCCAGAGGTTAAGAGTTTGCCTTCCAATGCAGGGGACCCAGGTTCAATCCCTGGTTGGGGAACTAAGATCCCACATGCCATGGGGCAAATAAGCCCACGTGCCACAACTACTGAGCCCACGTGCCACAACTACTGAGCCCACGTGCCACAACTACTGAGCCCACGTGCCACAACTACTGAAGCCCACGCTCTACAGCCCGTGAGCCACAACTGCTGAGCCCACATGCCACAACTTCTGAAGCCCATGTGCCTGGAGCCCATGCTCTACAACAGGAGAAGCTACTGCAAGGAGAAGGCCACCCACTACAACAAAGGGTGGCCCCCGCTCGCTGCAACTAAAGAAGGCCCGCACGCAGCAACAAAGACCCAACACGGCCAAAATAACTAAATAAATTTATTTAAAATACAAAACAAAACAAAACTTGGTGAAAGTCACACTTTCATTCAATTGCTTTATCAGAAAATTAGCATCACTGCAACTGGAAAAATTACCTTTTTGCTATGTGAGGAGCAGAAAATGCAGAAAGTATAAAATCACTGCCTGGGGTTAAGTGGTTATTAATGTTCGCTCATGTGACACCCACTTACTGTATGCGTACTTTGGAGCAAAGGATGAAAGGAGTCAGGTGGCCCTTCTCTAGAAAAGCAGAAAGCCTAGTACGAGATGGATGGGTAAGCACACCACTCCATATGACATGAGACACTACTATGACAAGTGTACATAGGTGCTACAGGAATGCACAAGAGAGGCACCTGACCTTACCCAGGGGAAGGAGGGTCTGAGCTGAAGATTAAAGACCAGCACCAGTCAGCTCAGGAAGAGGTTAAGAAAGGGGACCTCCGTATGGAGGGAGCTTGAATATCCCTGGCCACAAAAATCCTGACCTGGTTCAGCAAGTGGCTTGGTTTCCCTGGAGCATCTCGTCTGAGTTTGTGACCTGAGCCAGCTTTTGCTGGGTCTATTCAATCCTGATGATCAAACCACAGAGCTCTCTTGGGATCTGAAGTCAATAGAGACCAGGGCCTGGTCCCTCTGCATTTCCTCCCCTTCAAGATAGAACAGCAAGAAACCTGGTCTCCATGAGCAGCTTTTTCTTATAAAACTTTCCCCATTTCTTACTTTCTGGTGGCTTCAACTTTAAGAATGGTAAAAAAAAAAAGGAATGGTAAACACCTTTTCAAAATCCTAACTAAAAACATAGTACACATATAACAAAAAAAAGAATGCATAGTTGTTTACACAGCTATAGTTACTAACAATCCATAGATCCCAAGGATTTGGGGGGTATTCCACCCGGCCCATCTCTGCTCCCATTCCCCTCCCACTGTGAGACCACTTTAGGTATTTGTTAGCTAAGCCCTGGGAGAAGGTCTCAACCACAGGAGTCCCAACTTTCAAACTCTTGCTCCTGCACATCATTCACAGCCATCTTTAAAACTAAGAAACTGTACAGTTCCCTGCTCAAAAACATTGGCTCAAGCTACAATAGCCTCCTTGCAGCTCCTTGAACACACCAGACACACATGCCACTGTTCCCTCTACCCAGAACACTCTCCCCCAGACCTGAATGTTGTTAACTCCCACACTTCCTTCAAGTCTGCTCAGATGGTATCATCTGAATAAGGATAAGGCTTACCCTGACCACCCTATTTAAATTGCACTCCTTGGACTTCCCTCGTGGCCCAGTGGTTAAGAATACGCCTGCCAATGCAGGAGACATGGGTTCCATCCCTGGTCCAGGAAGATCCCACATGCCGCGGAGCAACAAAGCCTGTGCACCAAAACTACTGAGCCTGTGTGCTGCAACTACTGAAGCCCACATACCCTAGAGCCCAGGAGCCACAACTACGAAAGCCCACATGCCTAGAGCCCACGCTCTGCAACAAGAGAAGCCACCGCAATGAGAAGCCCATGCACCACAACAAAGAGTAACCCCCACTTGCCACAACTACAGAAAGCCTGCACGCAGCCACGAAGACCCAACGCAGCCGACATAAATGAATAAATAAATAAATAAATAGCACTCCTACCACAAGCCCCCAGTTCCCTACTCAATCCCCCTTATTCTTCTCTACCTTTTTTTTTTTTTTTTTT